AAAGAGAAAAAGATTCTGTGTGATTTCACACTGTGCTAATTTTTTAATAGGCAGAAGAAAAGGCAATCATTTAGTTGTGACAACATCATAAAGCTCCTACCGTGAACCGCAATGAAAGAATATTCCACTGAAACATCTTATTCAAAAGGCTGTTTTCCTTTACGACGGAAAAGGGTATATTTGTTTAGGTCTGATGACATTGTAACTGATTCCAATGTTCTGCATGAAGAAGAAAAAACATTTTCTCTTGCTTACATAGTAATGAGTAACCATATAAGCATAATGCCTGTGTATTAGAAAGAAGGGGCCATTAACTGTCATCACATTTACCTTCCTGTCATCAGAAGGGCTAGAGTCTGCACATGGGTGTGGCTTTGGACAGGGGCATCAGTCATCCTCACTTCACTTAGCGGGCAGCACTGGACTGGTGTGGAAGTCCCAAAGCAGTACCAATCTTCCCTTCTCTTTGTACCTTCTCCTCTGTCCTGACCCTTATGCAGACGGGAAAAGAGGCAGGAAGATATACAGGAAGCTCAAATATTGCAAAAGAAATAGCGAGTCCCCTTTTTTTTGAACTAGGGAGTAGAACTGACCTTAGAACATTTATTCTCTGAACTTGTACATTTGTCCATAAGATCATGTTTAAGAGATCTCAGGCTGAGAAGTCTAGCCCTGATTTAACTGAATAGAGAATCCTATTCAAGGTGAAGGGGTTGGTCTGCCCCAGGAGCCAGGTCCCTAAGAAGAGCAAGGGGAACTGGAGGTGGTGGTGGGAGAAGGAACGAAAGCCTGGGAGAACAGAGGTGGGGCTGGCTAGAGGACTTGATTTCATACCTAGTGGGGTTTTCCCTTTAGAATAGTAACCCAGGGGTCCAGGCCCACCATACGGTCAAATTCAGAGTAGAGGAATCGCAAATTACTTTTAAAACACTCCAGATATGTCATGGTCTCCCCTACCTGCATGTCCTCCACCCGCCACCTCACAGTCTTCATCTGGTCACTGGTGGTCCTCCTTCAAGCCTCATCAGTGACAGGAAGTATGGTCTGCCTCCTCCACTCTCCCCAGCCTGGAGTGGGTGCCCCTCCTGGACCCTGGAACACCTCACGTCGACTTCCGGTTAGGGGAAAAGATATCTCCAACCCTACAACCAGAAACAACAGCCTAAGCAGTAGCCGTGGCCCATAGAGGCACTGGCCCCTTCCTCTGTTTCCTGGCTCCATCTGCATGGGTGGGCAGCTGCTACTCTGATTGTCTCCTGAGAGCACATTGCACTGTGGGCAGGGACACTGAGTCAGAAGGCAACGTGCACTCACGAGGGCCCATTCTCTCCTTCCATCTGCTGCTGCGTGTGTGGGCGGGCTCTTCCTCTCCGCGTGACTGTTTGGGTAAATGGATTCCGGAGGCTGCCCCACCCAACTCACTAACGCCTGTCACTCACCCTCAGGACGCTGTGATTTGATATGGGGGCAGGGAGGTATTTTAGAATCTTGGGCCCCAGTAGGGTGCCCTGACTCAGCTGAGGGCAGCCCTGAATTTGGCCTCGTTGGAATCTTGCCCATCTGGCATTTCATTCCCCATTTGGCAACTGATTCTCATCCCTACAGCTCCTTTGTCAGGAAACTGCAACGGGAAGGATGAGGAGTGAGAAGGAAGACTCTCACTCCATATCCCAAATCTCTAATGCTCTCATCTTAACACATCTAATAATGCGCTGTAATTATCTGTCTCCCTCGTTAGATGGCAAATTGCCTGAGAAACTATCACTGGTCTTTACATCCCCAGTGCTTCGTACAATGTCCAATACACATTAGGTGCTCCAAAGACGTTACGTGAATGCGTGGATAAATGGGTGAGTTTGGCCATTCTCGAACCTCCTTCGTCAGCCCAACCCCAGGCTACTCTGCCTCTGGTCCTGCCAGGCAGACAGCCGCACATTTCCTACACAAGCTGTGGCTGTCCTACCCATGTTCCCCTCGGCTGGTCACCTCACACAGGACGTCCTCTGTTCCAGCTCAATATTCACGTTCTGAATGAAGCCCTTTCAAGCTAGTTCTGCCCACGCTCATTTTTTTCCTAAATGTTTTCACACAATTTAGTACTTTGTCATTCTCTGAATATTTTAAGTGTGCCAAAGTTACAGCCTTAACCGGACTGTATGTGACCTGGCCTGGACGTACTTCTGTGGGACATCATCAGGCAGGGCAGAGTCTGCAAGTAGAGGAGCCGCTGCCCGGCCCCGCCCCCCTGACCCCACCAACTTGAACGAGCTGGGGCAAACCACTTAGTTTCCGTATCTGTAAAAACAGGGGGAATAATTAGCCACTTGAGTATGTCATGGATTATAAGGATCAAAATAAAAACATAATGACATCTGCCAAAAACTGATGGACAATTTATTCTTCTTAGAATGTAGAATCGAGTTTGGATTAGAGGAGAGCTTAATAATGCTTATAGATTTACTTGGCAATGATTGCATTGCTTACAGGCATCTCACTAACAGATGCTGAGCTGTTCTGTCACTCAAGTGAGGATTACTGTTTGCAATGACAGGTGGGTGACCTGGTGCCTTTACATCTGTCCCAAGGAGGGTCAACAGGCTGAAAATGTTTGAGAAATACTACCAGGGGATCTCTTGGAATGTAGCTGTGCCATTTAAAAAAGTTTACCATTATTATATTCCTTAAAGCTAATTCTTCTTTATCAGGGATGTCTTAGTCCGTTTGGGCTACGATGTCAAACTACCGCCCATGGGCAACTTCACAACAGAAATGTATTGCAGATAGTCAATTGCCAATAGTGCTCATGGCCCTGGAGGCTGAAGTCCCAGATGACGTCACCAGCAGTTTCAGTGCCTGGTAAGAGCCTGCTTCCTGCTGTATGGACACCCATCTTCTCACTGTGTCCTATGCGATAACGGGACAAGAGAACACTCTGGGGTCCCTTTTTATGAGAGCATTAATCCCTCTTCATGTGAGCTCATGACCTAATCACCCCCAAAGAGCCCACTCCAAAATACCATCACAGTGGGGGTCAGGACTGCAACACACGGATCTGGAAGGACACATTCAATCTGCAGCAAGGAATGTGTGCTCCCACACAGAAATCATCAAACACTCCATCCTTATCCACTCCCCTCCCCTACTCTTTCTTACTTGTAACGATATCTAAACTTGAATTTCAATGCTAGTAGACTTAGGTGGAGGGTTGGGCAGGATCTATTATTTCCGTATCACGAGTGAGAACTCAGTTCAGAGAACATGAGGGTCAGAGAACCTGGAGCCACGGAGTCAGCGCACAGAGCGCGCATGGTGTGGAAGTTCAGTCCTCTTTCTGGTGCGATAAGGGGAGCAGATGAGGACCAGGGCCTGAGTTACAGGTAAATTGTAGCCTGTTGAATGTTCAGCCTTTCAGGCATTTAGATTTGGTGGGATGACATTTAATGTTTTGTTTAAAACAAAATTCCCAGATCATCTTTCAGTGGTTCACATACATTATTCCTACTTGCTCTGTTCCGTGTAACCAAGAGTTCTGTTTATGGTGATGAATGCTTTAGCATACCTCTGCTTCCAAACAAATCTTTAAGTCACCTTTCTTTGCATAATACTAAACTTCAATAAAGAAAAGCTCCAATATACTAGGTTAATAAAGAAGTTTGATGTTGTGTGATAATAAATTATGACTTACTAAACATTTTAAGCTTTTAAAAAGTGCTTCTCTTACGTATTGGTATTTATCCTAAAGCACAAAAAAAATAAGGAGAAATTTAGGAAAATTACAGAACAGTGTCATCTTAGTTTCATTGAAGGAAACTGTGCTTTGCAGTGATGTTGACCTCACTGGCTGAAGAAACACGAAAGTGTTTTGTATAGAGGGCATTTTCCATACTGCAAGGATCCTAAGTCACGATGAACCTGGGGTGTTTGTAAGCAGTTTCAAGACCTCACATAAAAATATGTGTGCATATTTTCACAGTGTAGTACAAAGTACAGATATAGGATGACACCTATTTTCTCTGATTTAGAAATTACAAATATTTAGTAATGTTCATTTTAAACTAAGCCCGTGCAAGTGAGTACATGAAGGAGGGGGTTTAATAACCATCAGCCAAGCTGATTAATATACTGCATGTTCAGTGAAAAGACAATCATCTTACTCAGTGTATTTCTGCTTAGGACTCGAATTGTAAGAGTACTGGCCTAAGGAACTGTATACAGCTGAGCTGTCTGATATGATAACTGCTGGAAACATGTGACAATTTAAACTAAAATGTGCTATCATTTAAAATTCAGCTCCTTATTTGCACTAACTACATTCAATTGCTCAAAAGCTACATGTGGCTAATGGCTGCCGTATTAAACAAGGGAAATGTAGAACATGTTGCAGAAAGTTCTGTTAGGCAGCAATCCTTTCCCCTGACAGCATAGGCTAACGAGGTTAACAAGGAGTCCCTGTGAAGGGGAGGGAAAATTCATCAAATTGTTCCAAATCAGCATGTCCCCGCTCAACTTCTCCATATCCTTCTGTTGTTACACATACATGCACACACAGAGCTGAGTCTTGGTCATCATAAATCATCATATCTTTACATCTTCCATAGCCACTTTTTAAAAAAAATCCTTACCTAAGACTATCTTCATTGATTTTAGAGAGAGAAGAAGGAGGAGGGAGGGAGGGGGGAGAGAGAGGGACAGAGAGAGAGAGAAACATCAGTGTGAGAGAAACACAGATCAGTTGCCTCCCCTATGTGCCCCAGCAGGGGATGGAACCTGCAACCTAGGTGTATGCCCTGACCAGAAATCAAACCCGAGAACTGTCGGCACACTGGACAGTGCTCCAACCAGCTGAGCCACCCAGCTGGGCAGCCACCACTTTAACATGGGTGAAGCAAGCCTTGAACCTGCTACTTGAGGGAGACTGTGATTTCATGAATAACTAAAAGAATTCTCCCTGTCACAACATCAGATTTCTCATTGAGGAGCGCACACTTTTGAATGCATGTTACTTTATTGAAATGCACATATATACAGTGACGACAAGGGGGAACTCTGCAGAGTTGAGTACAGTGGCTGCATGCATGGGGAGAACAGGCAGACTCGAGTTTTACAGAAGGAAAGAGGGCTTGAAAAGTAGGCAAAGACCGGAGAGCAACTTTCATTTCCCATCACCACATAGAAGGGTCTTCCAGCCTGTCAAACATAAGAAGCACAGCATGAGAGAGACAAACTTCCCAGCTTCATGGGAGGCTTGCACGACTGGGCCATCCCATTCTGAACTGAAAGGTGGTCGAGAACTGTTGAAAAGGCCCCAGGTGGCATTCCGAATAGGAGACGGTGTAGAATGTCAGGGCAGGAGACAGTGGCACAGTGTGCAAAGTAGCTTTCACTCGTGGAAACGGGAGTCTCAGGCAGATCTCAGAGGGACTATTTAAAAGGCTCTGTATTTATCAAAGAAGCCAAAGAACTCTGCAATATTTCTGAGGATCGAAACTACACAAATCACACAAAACTGTAACAAGAAAGTTATTGTTGCTCGGCTCTGAATATGCTTCCTTTGTTTCCCTGTGAAAGCTTGCTGTGCTATTTACTGGACTATAAGGACCCCCTTTTAATAAAATAGCATTCACAGGCAACTTCAAGCCTGTCAAGTTTTGTTTCCTTCTAACTGCACTTGATTGTCAATCAGCGTGCGATTAACTTTATTTCATGTGCTAACCATGCAACTCCAGGCCACAAAGCAAACAACAGCAGAGAGGCTGTAAGTAGGTCTGGATGGTTCTTTTTCTTACCCTAAGTAGACATAGCTTCCCTAAACTTTTTACTGTAGCAAACATCATAAGCATGTCCATAAAACATGAAAAAGCATTTATTGGTTAGTATGTAGAAACAATCCTTTTCAATTTTCCATCTGCTTCCCTTGCATTTTTAATTACATTTATTGGGGTGGCATCGGTTAATAAAATATAGGTCTCAGGTGTACAGTTCTATAATATATCATCTGTATATTGTATTGTGTGTTCGTCCCTCCTGCTTCCCTTGCATTTGCTGTTAAGTCTGGCTGGACCCTCAGAGGTGGGTGGGGGGGGGTGCTGTTCCAGGAACAAGAGCACTGGGTTCCACTCCAGTCCCAGTGGCTGTTTCCCTCAGAGAAAACCAGCCTGACTGCTCCCGAGTCTCACCTTCGCCCAGGCTGCCCATGGCACAAGAGAACAGCGGGAGGGTTGGAGAGAAGGTGATGGACGGCTCATCGGGTCACCTGCTTTATTTTTTAACTTTTTACTTACATATTTTTTATCTTATTAAATGTATTGGGGTGACATTGGCTCATAGGCTCACATAGGTTTCGGGTATACATTTCTGTGACAAGCCAGTCATCTGATTTAATCGCTGAGGACAACCCCAAGAGAGTGACACGACAGTCACACGCACCGAGCAAGCGTTCTAGTGACCTCTTCTGGGGACCTTGGTTCTTGCCGTGTCGCGTTCAGGGTTTAAGGCAGACAAGCTACCACAGAAATGGGTGAACCATGTGCCATGGGATCTCACTGGCAGGGAGAGGAGACGGCAGGGGACAAAAGAGCCAGTTATGAGAACCAAGGACCAAGCTTCTTCTTTTCAGAGGAACCCCTGGTACAGGAGGCACCAGAGCATCCTGGCCCAATGCTTGACCCCGAGATATTGGTGGGCACCTCTTGCCAAAACAGGCCACACTCCCAGAAAGCCCCAAGGCTGCAGATAAGCCCCTAAGAACAACTCCTTATTCATTCAGTCATGGAGTGCAATAAATTATGGCATGACATCAGTGAACTAAAAGATGTTAAAAAGTAAACGAGCTCCCTCTAATTTATCTACAGTTTCACGTAAAACCAGAGAGACTGGAGAAAGACTCCTGAGGGACACACCCTAGGGTGTACCCACAGTCCACATGGTGCATAAAACTAAAGGTTACCCCGGCCACAGTGGGGCGGCTGGCCATTTCAACAGAGAGATGGGGGCCACTGTGTGCTCCCCAGTGCTAACGCAGGAGAAATTCTACAGAGTAATTCCTGGGGTCAAAGTCACTTACATTTAAACTTTTCCACGAAGCACCACAAAATCTGCAGTAGAAATAGCATCCCACAGAAGTTTAGAGATTCACACATGACTACGTGACAAGAGAGGTCCTCCCGACTTCGTTCCGCACCCACGTCTCTCTCTGAATCCTACCTGGTCCGGAGCACCTCTCGCCCCAGGCAGCCCTGTCCGATTCCCCTCCCCAGGCACCATGAGCTCTGCAACAACGTCCTCACGCAAGCTTCTTCGTACCTAGTTCTGGGAATGTTTTCCGTGCTTTCTCTCATCAAGAGGTCTGAAATCAGTGTCTCAGGGCTGGACCGTTTTCCATATCTAACAACAATGAAAAAAGGGAAAGTTCTTTAAAGCAAGTTTGGAATATTCGTAAAAATCTTTAGGAAAAAGAAGACAGTCTCCCGTTTGAGGTACAACATCTGAAAGTTATTTTCAGTTGGTCGTCGGCTGACAACTCATCTAGGTGCAGAAAGCATACATTACCAAAAACATAAATATGATTTCAAACCAAACATATATAATTTTGTTAAATATTCAAATAACAGATTATTTAAACCCAACCAAAAATCCAAATACTTACATTTTTATACCACGAATAATACATATGTAGATATATTTATATAACTAGGTAACAGGATATAAAAATACACCAAGCTGTGATTTTAATGTTTCCATAATTAGTTAATTAGCTATAGTTCTGATGGCGTGCAGCAGTTTAAATCTTAACAAAGAGACCAGAAGGCATTTCAGAAACATCCCTCAGGCGGAACAGTCAGTGACTGAAGTTCTAGGCCCACCTGTGTCTTTCAATCTCAGTTTTCTCATCTGTAAAAACAAAATTACGCCCCATGCTTCCGTCGGAGCCTTTGTGAAAAATCGGTGTGAGTCATGATGCTGTGAAAGCGACAAAGTGGTACACAAGCGAGAGTCACCACTGCCGAAACCCACCCATCCTCACAGAGAGCAGCAGGGCCCGGGGCCTGTGCTGTTCGTACTTATTCGGGGCCCGATAAGCTAAAAGCCTTCTCTCACGCTGTGATTTTAATCTGCCCTGTAAATATAAAGAAATCCTACTGGTCCATAACGTTTCTGGTCTTTTTCTCCTGCTGTTGGACATGAATCGACAATATGAGAATGCAGGCTCTGCTTTCCTGCCAGGATGGCATCCGTTTCCATCCGTTTCTTGCTCCAGGTGAGTGAGTACGTGGATTCATACCACACACCATCTCACCGTCTTTCCTTCCCTCACTCTGCTAAAGAGTCCAACAAGTGCATAGCAACAAGTTGCATTTTTTTGAAGAAGCTGATTTCCCCCTTTTCAAAAAAGGCATGGGACACCAGCAGCCACTTTGCTCACAAATGAAAAATTAGCCTGGCGTGGACTGATTAGCTAATAGGTAATTAGCTAAGAGACAAAACAGGACCAAAGCTGTCTGGGTATACTCTAACTGCCTGCAAAGCACAATGAAATCTAAATTTGGGGGGAAATTTTCCTATTATTGCTTCTTTCCTGGGTCTCAACAGAAAAAAAAAAGCAAAGCAAACTCCCCTTTCCCCATGATTTGTAAGGTCTCCTCAAAGATTTTCTGCAGTTGTGATATCAGACTGCAGGCTGCCATTTATACTTACTTATTCCGACCATCAGTTGATTTTACTAATCTTAAAACTCGTGGGCAACCTTAATCCCTTTATTGTCATCATGCTCCAGGGAATGAAAGACCTGGCCGACATTTTTACAATTCACCAGGTACAGAAACTGAATCTGTAGTAGCAGGATTTGCACAGGACAGCACTGTTCGCTATTCATGCTTCTCTAATTTATTCTGGAGTATCCTTTTTCTCTACGATGCTCTAACTTGCAAAGACAGAGTCTGTAGGGGACTACATATCCCAACCTGGCTGCACGTTAGAGTCACCTGGAGGGCTTTTAAAACCAGTGTGCAGTCCAAGCCCCACTCCCACCTCACCCCCAGGCTCTGATTTACCTGGTTAGGGGTGCAGCCCAGCATCAGTCTACTTTTCATAAATTCCTCAGGGGGTCCCAATGCACCACCAGGATGGGAAAATCACTCACTAATCTAGGACTGGGTTTCTCAACATCAGCACTATGGCCATTTTGGGAGCTGGATAATTCTTTGTTGTGGGGAGCTGTCCTAGGCATAATGGGATGGCTAGCAGCATCCCTGGCCTCTGCCCATTAGATGCCAGTACACCACCCCTCACTGCAACACCCAAAACTGTCTCCAGACATTGCCAAATATCCTGGGGAGCAAAAAGTCAGCCTGAGCTGAGAACCACTGATCTAGCAAAATATGGTAGATCCATGCTGTAGAAAAAAAAAAGCAATGTAGCTTGCAGAAGGAGTGAACCAGGGGAGAAGCTTAAAAACATGGACTGTATTGAAAAAGCAAGGAAAGAGAACATTTATGACAAAGCCAAACATACTCACAAATGACACTGGAATTTTCAAAAATACCAACATGTGCATATGAGCCATGTGTGTAGGGGGAAGGCAAAGACAATGGAGATTATTGGTGCAGATCATAAACCTCTGATGGTTTCTAAGCAGGAATCTACATGAAGATGAGATGGAAAACTCGGCTCCAGGACTAACACACTTCCAATGACCCTGAATCTCTTCCCATGGAACTCAAGTCCCTTTCCCTTGTTTCTTCCTCATCCAAGATGCTGGAGACCACACTATCTGCTGATGGTGGTGACACCATCCCAGGAAAATCAGCGGGGGTGCTGCAACTTCATCACCCCTAAAAAGGTTTCATGAACTATTCTTACTTTCACAGTCTGTCAAATGGAGATAACTATACTCAGTCGAAAGCTTTGAGGTCAAGACTGAACAAAATTGTGCCTAGAAAAACATTTTGAAATGCGAAAGCTTTATCTCATGTAATGGTAGAGCTTTATAGCAACTATGCAAAAATAAGTCCTTTGGTCTGTAAGTTAGCATAAGAAGAATTAGAAGCAAATAAGTTTCTGAGACTCTATTGGGATATAAAAGTATTGTTTTTTACAAACTAATATTATCAGGCTTTAGGGACCATACACCAATACTATTTTAATTTTGGCATTTCATGTATTTTTAATTCTATGTAAATTGAGACTTTTTGAAAAACTCACTATTAAAGAGCTTTTCAATGAAACATTTTAAAAAATGAAACTTTATTTAAGAAATAGAAATTCTCCCCACTTTGCATCCTTTCCAACTACTCCCTGTCTTGTGAACAGTAAATATATGGCAAAAACAAAAGACAGCACTTTAGAAAACACAATTTAAACATGTTAAATAACATTAATGCTTTTAAAGGGTTGTTTTTACCTTATTAAGGCGATTTGCTCTCAAGAATCAAAATAAGATACTGAATGATTTAGAACTAAGATAAGCCAACTTTGAAAACAAATTTTAAATCCTCTATTATTTATAAAATTGATTAAATTTGATTTTTTTGCTTAATATTTGATTTTGAGAATGAAAATGTAGAATTTCATTTAGCTTCCTGTGGGTCCAGGGTGAGGCTTACAATCTCGCGAATGCCACGTAATCTCTAGATTCACCCTGGAGTGACTAGACGGATGTAAGTTCCTGACTAACCCAGCACCAAGTAGGCACTTCTTTTTCATGACTCGCCTGCCGTAAAACAGGAAAGACTCTGCCTTTCAGATCCGCTGTTTTCTGCTAAATCTCTGTTTATTTGGGACAGGATTTTCAAGTAAAGGTCTGAGACTGGAAGGGGAAAAAAAAAAACACTGTCTGGAAGGAAAAAAGCTCTACTTGTGCTTTCCTAAACACCGTCATTCCACTCGCTCTGACCAGGTCGCACTGTCTGGCAGCATCTTAGTAGCCCAGCCACCTCCTCCTTGGTTTTCGTTCTTGTTTTCCCTGGACAGACACCCTGCCCCCTGTTTCCCCTGCAGCCCTTTCCTGGGGGTGCTGCTGACCCCTTTCACGGGGTACTCCCCCATCCCAGTGTCCACGCAGTCCCCCAACTGCTCCAAGACATAAAAGACAAAGGGACGGGTGGGAGGAGACGCCAGCCACACCTCCCAGAGAACTTGAATCTGCGAGCCTGGATTTTCTGCTGTCCTTACAGCGGGAAAGTACTCAGTGCCTTGCACGGACACAGCTGGGAGTTGAGTAAGTCCTGATACTGTCCTGCCCCGGGATAAAGAAAAAGAAATAGCCCCTGTCCCCTCTGAGACCCCCAGGATCTCTGGGTAAGCAGGCAAGGCAGGAGCTCCTGAAGTGGGTCCCCCCAAGCCCACCCACCTCTGCCTGGTGATGAGGTTGATGTAGTGTCGCAGCGCCGAGTAGTATCTGGCCAGGTCCTCCGCAGACGCGTTCTCTCCCGGGTTTTCGGGTTTGGAGGGGTACGCCTCGGCCAGCGCGCCGAGGCACACGAGCAGGGACAGGGCGAGGGTCAGTCCTGACAGCCCCAGTCGCTTGCTCCGCAGCATCTGAGGGCACCGAAGGCACAGGGGAGAGGGCTTGACGGTTTGGAGCACACACGCGCGCGCCCCTCCCCCCGCTACCACCGAGGACCCCCGCACCCGTGCTCAACCCAGTGATCCAGAGAGGGGCAGAGCGCGACAGGCGCCCCCACCCCCACCGCCCGGGGGCTTCGGGCACAGTCCGCGCTGGCCCCGCTGCTCTGCTCCGCCTGAAAACTCCGTGCAACTTCGGTCCAAGTCGCAGGGCCCAGAGTCGCTTAGTGGGGGGCGCAGAGAGGGGGAGGGGGGCGCCCGTTGGAACTTCTTCCTGCCTGGTTGAGGAACGTCGCTTTCCTACCGCCTTCCCCAGAATCCGTGCCAGAGAAGCAAAGTTTCTTCTCTGACACTTTTGGCCTGTGCGGCTGCAGGAGCGTGAATGAGGGCTGCCTGCGGAGGCCACTCCGGGTGGCGATTTGGGAGAGAGCGGGGAGAACTGCTGCCCGGGCCCGTCAGTCCCCGGTCTGATCCCAGGTTGGACGCGCCGGGCGTCCGAGCCCCGGGGACTCCTCCTGGAGGGAGACCTCCCGGCAGCCTGAGAGCCCGGGGGACACTGCCGGAGCCGGGGCTCCGGGGTGGGGGGCGTTTGCTCCCACCCTTCCTCCAAACCACAGCCCCGAGAACCGCCCCGCCGGGAGGGTCTGGGAGATGGGTGACTGGACCATCAGAGGGGTCCAGAAGAGGCGGTGGAATTTAGTTGCCCGCAGCGGCTGGAGCGCGTGGGGCTGGGGAGCAGGGCACGACCCGCCCAGCGCCCCGGGGCTTCGCAGAGGGTGCGACGGGGCCCCAGCATCAACGCCCCCCTTGGGTCGGGTCAAGCCCGGAGGGAAGTAGAACTCACGGTGGTGGCGGCGGCGGCGGGCGTGGCTGGCGGTGAGAGCTCTGCCGTCGTCGCGTCCGGAGCGCCTCTCCCAAGAGTGAGAGCCGGCGAACGACGTGTGTGGAGAGCGGATTGCAACGGGGCTTTTATGGGGTTCCTTGCAGCAGCAGGAGGGGCCTTGGACAGTCACGCTCCGGTGACTCCCACCCTCCGCTTCCCGCCCGGGTGTGGGAGGGGGAGGGGCTGGAACGACAGCAGCACGAGTGAGTGTCTCTGCGGGAACCACCCACACCCAACTCTGCCACCCCAGGCGCTGTCCCCGGTGAGCGGGGCCTGGCTCTGGGTGAGCAAGGCAGCGCCTTCCCAAAGCGCTGGACAGCGCCAAAGTCAGGTGCCTGCCCTCCAGCAGTGCCCAAACCACGCTGCCCCCACCTGCCAGGGACGGAAGCAGCCCAGATCATCTTTGTCACCTGTCACCAGGACCCCCAAGTCGTTGGGCACCAGGGAAGGATGTACCTGAATTCTCTACTTAGCGGGCTATCTCTGGGACCCAAGCAGCAACCGCACCAGGCACAACTCCCGCGCACCTTCGGGGCAGTCAACTCGGGGCACAAATTTTCCTGCACTTAAACCAAGTGGGAGGCGCCTGCCCTGAGTCCAAGTGAGCCGGTCCTCTCTCCTCCCAGGGGCTGAGGAGGGGTCCTGTGGCTTTGGCCCCTCTCTCTGGCTGGTTTTGCAGATATGTCAGCCCTTCCCAAGTATGCCCCCAAAGGTCCCAAAGGCAGAGCCTGAAAGTGTGGAGAGAGAAAACCCTGAGTGGGGCAGCACATAGTAGGTAGACTCACTTCCATCGTTTGGTGGGAAAGAGCCATGTTTCAAGGGTCGAGAAGCCCTTAAATCCCAATGAAAAAAATTTTGGTCCCAAGAGACAAGTAGTTTAAAAGAACAACAACTTCTCTTGTCCTTGGTGATGGAAATAAAACAGGTAAAAAAAAAAGAAAAAGAAAAAGATTATTACAGGTTCAGGATTTTACGTAGTGGACTACATCTTTAAATTCCCTGAACACTCCTAGGAGTCTGAATCTTTCTAAATAAAACTGCATATTAGGATGTTAAAGGGTTAAGTTACACATTATTCTGACGTTAAAATGACAAGTGATTCTGTTAAACAGAGACATTTTGTTTCTGTGCTGTGTTGGTAGAATTCACTTAGACATCAATGGCTATGTCGCAAGCAATCCTGTTGTGTGTTAGAGGTTTTGAAGACCAGCATCCCTTTCACTTAGCTGAATGCTTCTCCTTCATTACTCAAACATAGGCCGGGAAAAGAAATCGGGCTCTCAGCGTTGCTCAGGGGTGCTTATCTGGAAGAGTCTTCGGTGTGGAGCAGATCACCTTTTAACTTAAGAGTCCCTTTCTTGATAAGGGGCAGAGCACAGTCCACTTTTCAATCATCTTGTTTTTACATTACATCACAGTTACGTCTGCTGAAACCCAGACTTAGAAGTGTGACCCGCCCCTCTGTCCTTTTAGTATTGTCTCTGTTAAAAGTGTCTTTGTAAAAGATGAACTGTTAACTAATATGCAACCTCTAGATAAAGAGCATAATTGTGTCAAAGTTCCAAGAACTAACCTCACAGGGAGCCGACTCCAGCAACCCCATGTTCCTGCTCGGAGAGACTGGCTGATTTGCCACCACAAACAGCAGACCTCCACCTGACCAGTTTGGAGAGAGGCATTGGAATAGACTGAGCTGACTCACATGCACAGAACGTTCAACTCCCCCACCCCTGATTCCTTTGTTCTGCTTTCCCTCCCCTCCTAATGAAAACCCCTGCCTGCACTGGGATGTGAGGATGGTCTTTAGGACAAAAGACCACCATGTTCTCAGGCTGCTAGCCCTTGAACAGACTCTCTTTTTTTCCACCAGCACATGTCTCTTGAGTATTGTCTTTCAAAGTGGCAGGCAGCAGAAACTGAGTTTGGTATCAGAGTCTTTGAATTAGGGAGAAATCACTTCTAAGGAGATGTACTACTCATGAGTAGGGAAGAATGTGTAGCTTTGATTAATTAAGCTTAAGATAATGTCCCTGGTACCCCGTACCAATAAGAGCTTACTCTCAGGGTTCAGCATTTGGAGCATAAAAAATGGAGCCACGTGTCCTGCATAAACTCTCACATCCCTATCCTCCTTCTCCAGTCCCAGCTGCATCAGGCCTGGGGCCCTGGACTGTCTGTTTCTCCCCTCAGGACTTTGGCTCAATGACTGCCTCCTCTCCTTCCTGTAATTTCCAGTTTTGTTAATCCTCACCCCAGGACATGCTTAATGATTCTGAGAGAGAGGAAAAGAGAGGGAGAGTAACACTGATCGTTGCCTGTCACTCATGCCCCAACTGGAGGCTGAACCCACAGTCCAGGCATGTGCCCTGACCGTGAATTGAACGTGCAACATTTCACTGTATGGGACGACGCTCCAACCAACTGAGCCACACGAGCCAGGGGTCTTTCCTATAATTTTCTGTGCACATAAATATATTTACTTATAGCTTATAAATTTGCCTGAGTTTGTTTCATAAAACAGAGCAAAACCAAAATCCCCTCCAACAATTAAAACAATTAAAACTGTTACTCAACCCGGTACCTCCTTCTAGCTGCTGAACCATGTCCCTCCTTTGTTTCAAAATTGTTTATTCTATATATTTGTACATGCAGTTATTCTTAACAGCTTTATTGAGATACAACTGATATACACTCCACTGGACATATTCTTACCTATACACTCCCAGGTAAGGGTAAGAATACCTAAGAATACCTATACACTGTGTGTATACCTCAGTCAAGGTAAGGAACACATACATCACCACCAAAAGTTTCCTCCTGTCAGACCTACTCAGTTATTGCATGTATCAATAGCTCATTTCTCTCTATCACTGGGTGGTATTCAATGATATGGATATATATTAAATGTGTTTTCTAAAATCTATTCAACTACCCATGGACTTAGAATTGTTTCCAGTTTGGACTATTACAAATACAGCTTCTACGAACACTGGTTTACAAGTTCGAATGGACATATGCTTTCATTTCGCTTGGGAAAATATTTAAGGGCAGACTGGATGGGTCATGTGGTAGGTGTATGTTTATTTTTTTTTTTTTTGCTGTTCCCACGTGTATGTTTTACTAAATACTTTCTATCGCTATGTCTTATGGAAGGATGTGGTAACAGCACACCCAGCACAAAGGCTGGGGCGGATAAAGATAAGACAGACAAAAAGTCTAACTGCGTTCTTGTAAGTTTGTGGCAGCAACTGAAACCTGTGCAGCAGCCCCAGCCCATAACGACATCTACTGTTGCAGAATGTTCTCATGTTTACGGTAACCCAGAGAGAGTTAGGGGACCCACAGCTGCCAGTGATAGCTAGGGAAGATGGCCAGGGAAGTCAGTGCGAGCTATAACACTGACTCAAGGAACAGGGCGTTTCCCACCACGTCCCTGTAAGGTGAGTGTCTCCCCTCTCCCTGAGTATATCCTAGGAATTGACCTTCTAGCTGGCATATGCCTACAGACCATCATGGGGGAGTTTCACCTCCGAATGCAGGTTGTGAAGGCTGTTTTGAGGGGCCATGCCAGACACGCCCCTGTGTCACTTCCCAGTCCCCAGAGAATAGTGGCCACCAAGCAATACCACCTTTTAGATGGCCACAGGAGATTGGGGAGACCATAGAAGAACTGGCCAAAGTGAACAACATCAGACCAGCCTGCAGCCCCTACAATTCACTTGTATGGCCCGTCTGAAAGCAGCATGGAACTTGGCACATGACTGTAGATTACAGAGAACTAAATAAGGTGATTCCCCCTCTTTTTGAAGCTGTGCCTAACATAGCTACCCTCCTAGACCAGCTTAGCCATGATCTGGGCACATACCATTATGTGTTAGATTTAGCTAATGCCTTTTTCTCTATTGATATTGGTCCCAAAGCCAAGACCTTCACCTGGGAATGTCGCCAATGGACACTGACAGTTCTGCCTCAGTGTTACCTGCACAGTCCTACTGTTTGCCATGGCCTTGTGGCTGAAGACTCCGCTGCAGAGACTGTACCATCCTCTGTGTAACTGTACCATGACATTGATGATGTCATGCTGACCTCTGATTCTCTTAGAATTAGAGCATGCTGCTCCCCAGTCCTCTGTGGGCTCACCTCCAGGGTCGAGGATGGGCAGTCAATTCCAACAAAATCCAGGGACCTGGATGGTTTATCAAATTCTTGGGTATTGTTTGGTCAGGTAAGACAAAGGTGATGCCTGCCGCCATGACAGATAATATTCAGGATTTCCCCATCCCACAGAAGCCAAAGCAATTACAAAAATTTTTAGTGTTGCTGGGATACTGGCAGGTTTTTATACCACATTTAGTTAGTGCACCCTCTTTATCACCTCACCCACAGAGGAGCAACCTGGGATCGGGAGGAAGAGGCCTTTCAGGCTGCTAAGCAAGTGGTGAAGACTGTACAAGCACTGGAGGTCATAGATCAATCTCATGTGTGTGATTTAGATGTCCACATCACCCCTGAAGCCTATGCGTGGGTCATCTGGCAATGGCAAGGGTGCACCAAGGTGCCAACTGGCTTCTGGTCCCAGCTCTGGAAGGGGGCAGAGGCTTGATACAGCCCAACAGAACATGTGAATGCTGTTTACCAAGCTCTCCTGGCTACCAAAGCCATTACTGGACCAGCTGAGGTCTGAGTACATACTACCTACCCCATTGCTGGTGGGTACAGGACCTTGTAAACAGGACCTTGTAAAGGACCTGTGTACTTTAGTCAGCAGCACAGATGGCCACTCCGACTAAACTGAGTGCCTATCTCCAGCAGAGAAGCACACCAGCAATGAGCCCTCTGAGCCAAGAATTGCAACAGCTCCTGGGCCTGTTTACTTATCAAAATGTGAGCATGGAGGTCCCTGATCCCGTTCCCATTCCTGGGCCTACTATTAACAAGGGACAAGCCCCTGTGCCTGAGGATGCTTAGTAAACGGATGGTTCCTGCCAGGGCCAGCCTCCCACATGGAGGGCAGTAGCTGATCATCCCAGCACGGACAGCATATGGATGGAGATGGCTCGGGACAAAGAAGTCAGTGGGCTGAG